CAGGTAGCGTAAAATTTCCTTTAGCTAAAAAAAATTTTAATGTTCGAAATTACCACAGGTAGCGTAAAATTTCCTTTAGCTCGTGCCAGACCATGTGGTCCTCGTCAGAAGACCCACTTGCAATCCTACGCATACATTATCCTTCTCTTGCAAATTTGCCCGAGATCGATACCCTTCCTGCATCAAAGCTTTGTAAGAATTTTTTGTTTTTTTGATTTTAATGTATATAAATTAGCTGATTAAATTTTAAATTTATTTTAAATTTTATCGGTTTAAATTTTACAAAACTACCACTAAAAACTTATATTATTAAATTTAGAGCACGTGAGATTAATCTAAATACATACAAACTAATTTAAATATTCATAAAAATAATAATAAAAACTTTATTTTTGTGTTAGATTTTGCTTTTAATCCATTCCATGTTAAAACAAGGTGTTTAGTTATATTTAAAATATTAATTTATATTTATGGGATTTATTAAAATTTATGAGTCACCCAAGAGTTAATAAAAAGTAACATTAACATGTTGAGCTATAAATTTTTTTCCACGTCTTACAGTCATTTTAATCTAAATCATAAAAATAAATACATTTGGATAGACGAGATAATATTTAATATTACAATAGTAATTGTTTATTTTTTATTTTAAAATATTTTAAAATAATATTTATTTATTTTTTAAAAAAATTACACAATATATCAAAATAACGTAAAATTTTTTAAAAAAGATTTAAAAACATGGTTTTAACGCAAAATCACAGTGAGGTAGATTAGGAGTTTTGCCCGTCTCATTGAATTTGCGCCATGGCCAGTTACTTACCTACTTTGAGGTGTCTTGTTAAACATCAGAGAGCCTCAGCAATTCCACTCACAACGTTAAAATCCTTGGAAGCCCAAATCATTGTCAGAATTGGTCGAGCTGGGAATCATACACGTTCGCGACTGCTTTAACAGTGAAAGCAACTTTTATTTTTATATGCTTAAATCAAGGTAAATTAATTTTCACTGACCTAAAGTTCATCGACTTGTCAGTTGTCGCTACTCGCACAGGTTCAAGTTTGGCAGTAGATTTGATCGATCTTGGTTTTGAAAATGTTGGAGTTTTTACATAATCCTTGTCGTTCATGATTATGCAATTAGTGAAGGTGAGATTATATGATTTTTATTTTTATTTTTATGAGTTTATCGACTTGTCAGTAGCTTGGGTTTTCACCAGGCCACTGCATTGTTGGACCTGGGCCGTGGAAATAAATTAACAAATCCATTTTGGGCTTTTCTATCTCTTTTTTTTATAGTAATGGCATTGTGGACCTGGGCCGTTGAAATAAATTAACAAAAAAAGGATGAACTTAGACTGTTAATTTAGCTATAGAACAATATATTATTACGAGTACAACTGATTAAACTATAAGAAACTAGTAAACGATTAATCAAACAAAAAATTAAGAGTTCGACAAAGGAGGTGTTTGGCTATGCATTTGCTAATGCTTTTTAAGTTTTTTTTACTCGAAAAATATTAAATTAATATTTTTTAATAATTTTAATACATTATTATAAAAAATAAAAAAATTATCTTGATATATTTTTAAGTATTATTTAAAAAAGAATAATGCACTGGTGTTTAAGATTATGATTTGTAATTACCTTGATATATTTTCAAGTATTATTTAAAAAAAACCATGCACTGGTGTTTAAGATTATGATTTGTATCTTTAAGATTTGTTAAATTTTTTTAGCTTCGAGTTAAATTGTTTTTGGTATTTTTAGTATGTTATTTCATAAATAAATTTTAAAAAATAAAAATAAAATATTTTTAATATATTTATGAAAAAAAATATTAAGAAAAAACCTCTACCCTGTTAAAAAGCAAGCAAATCTTTATGTCTTCCAGTTCGCTATAGATTAATAAAGATAGATGTGAGAAGAGCAACAGGAGTGGTAATAACAACTTCAGGTGGCAATATGCAATATCCATGTATTTGGTTGACGTGGGCAAAATCTAAGCCCAGCCTTATAAAACACGTCAGCACCCAGGCTTCAGTGCAATTGGACCTTCAGCCTGTTATTCTTCATACTCTTGCGGGCTCATAGAAAAAGAAAATAAAAATCTCTACTCATTTTTTTTATATATTTATTTACGTATTCTTGAGCATGTCATCGATATTAATCTTCTTTCCCAGCAATTATAATATCACATCTCTTACGTTAACATGATTTCTTAAGAAAAAAAATTAATAAATTATTTTTAATATTAATTCAAGATTTAAAACCCTAACCTAAGTAAAAATCAGACAAGAAAAGGAAAGAGGGGGTATAAAGCCATGCTCCAACCTGATTTTATGTGATATTGAATTTTTTTTAGGTTAATATTGATTTTAAAACTAGTATTTTGATTAATTTTATATATTTTAAAATTAATAATTATATAAATTTTCAGTCATGTTAAAAATTATAGAATTCGATCTGATAAATCTTTAAAATACAAAATTAAAACCTAATTAGCTCTATATCTCTAAAAATTGACTTCGAACCATTTTAGTAAGATGGAGAAGAGAGCAAAAAATCGATGAATAGAATCAAGACAACAAGAAGAAACCAAGATCATGGAGAAATTACTTATTTATGCCCAGATCCCATCAGAAAATGAGCAGCCAACTGACTGTCATGTCAAGATCATGAAGGCAGATCTATATTGGACCAGATATCACCAATTCAGCACCCCCTGGAGGCATACAAAGAGCATGCCCCAGGCTTTTAAAATCAAACACGATCCATCTCCCATGCATTCATGCAAATCACTATCTCCAAGCTACCTCCATTGTTAGCTCAACCAGGCATCCACGCTGCCCACGTGAGCAAATGAACAAAACTCAGTTTTATTTTTATTAAAAAATAATATAAATTATATTTTAAAATTTTATTTAATAATTCAGGTTATTAAATTGAATTTATTATTTAACAAGATATTTAAGTTTTAATGATAAAATGATCTTAAATTTAAATTTTATTATCCTTATTTATTTTTGATAAAAATTAATCATAAATTAATATAAATTTATAAAAAATTTGAATTTAAAAAACTTTTACTTGAAAGTGTGTCAAAAAATAATATAAATTATATATTGAGATTTTATTTAACAATTTAAGTTATATGGGTTGTATTGGTTTTTTTGACAACTAAGTTATTAGTTGTTTTTTTAAATTTATTTAAAAATATATCAAAAATAATTTTTTATATATTTTTTTTATAACATCAATATATCAAAATAATATAAAAACATAAAAAATATTTTAAAATAAAAAAACAATTTTATTTTTAAAATAAAAAAACAAAAGAACTCTATACCTACCCACAATTGCAGTGACCTCATGATTAGGCTAAAGCATCGTAAATTAATTGTAAAGTATTAAAAAAAAATATAAAAATTATTTTTCATTTTAAAGATGGATAAATAATATAAAATAAATTTGTATTTAAGATAACTTTAAAGTAATTTTTTTCTTTTATCTCTTTTTATTCTTATCTTGGAAAAGCGACAAAACGTGTACATGCTTGTTACTTATCATTTTGTAAGTAAAAAGTCCTATTTTAAAAGCATTTACAATAGTAAACTAAAACCAACAAAAAAATTATTTTATCTTCACTTTTTTTTTTAAGCATTATATATCAAGAAAGAACAAAGTTCTTCTATTTTTATCCATTAAACTTGTATTTATATTTTATAATTAATACATGCTTGGTATTGTGGTTTTAGGTTGTTTTCAAAAGTATTTTTTAATTGAAAGTGTATTATAATTATATATTTTTTTTATTTTCAAAATTATAAAAAAATTTAAAAAATATTAATTTAATGTTTTTTCAAACAAAAAACACAACTTGTAAAATAATTTAAAAAGCAAAAATAAACACACACTTAATAATAATAGTAGAGTATTTTGTTTTTCAAATAAAAGATTTCCAACGGGGCATTTTTCTCCCCCAAAACTACAGAAACATTCACAACAAAAACAACATTTTCCAACAGTAAAAGTAATTAATTACCACTTGACTCCCATAGTTGAAGTGACACAACCATAATTACCATCCATCTATCCATGCGACTTGTCAGTTAAGTGCACTGCTGGCTGTAAATAATATCATGTTTCCACCATGATTTAATCAATAATAGGTAAACTATAGAAATGGCGAAAATAACATATATGTTTCAAACAATCAAAGTTTTTTTCTTTTTTTGAGTTTTGAAATTGAACCATAGTTGCCAATTCAACTTAAAAAATCTGAAATTATTGCTTCATAATTTTTTTAAATAATCCAAAACATAATTATTTATATGTATCATAATTAATATCCAGATTCATTAAATACTCTATAAACTCAATAAATAAATAAATATTGAATACTCTATAAACTCAATAAATAAATAAAACATCATAAGTGTAGGAATTATAATTGATTAGACCTAAGTTTATTGTTTTTATTGAAAATAATATTTTGTTATATTTTTAAAAATAAATTATTTTTGACATTAACTTAATCAGAATTAGCTAGTGACTAGGTTAAATAAATTCTACCAAATTAATATATTATCAAATTTAATTTAATTAAAAATTATTATATTATTTTTTTAAATGATTTTTTTAACATTAACCAAATCAGAACTAGCTTGGTCACTATTTTAATTAAATTTTATCAAAATAATATATTATAAAATTCAATTCAATTAAAAAAATATTATTTTATTTTTTTAAAATAATTTTTTTATATTAATCCTATCATAATTATCTGGTCACTGGGTTAATTAATTTTAATCCTATCAGAATTATCTGGTCACTGGGTTAATTAATTTTTATCAAATTTATATATTGTAAAACTCAATTAAAAAACCAGCGAATTAAAACTGTAGATCCTAATTTTTCTAGGTCGAGCCGAAACCATATCTTTCTTCAAAGCGAAGCAAGAGGCATTTAATAATATGTCAACCAAACAGACCCCAACTTTATCTATATAAGCTCCCCAATTAAAGACGGGGATCCCTTCCATCTATCATCTCTCTTCTCCCACTTCTCCTCGCACCGTGTTAAAAAAAGCCACCATCAAGAAGAACAACGAAACATGGGGGACGCTTTCTGTTCAGATTGCAAGAAACACACAGAGGTAGTATGCGACCATTCAGCAGGAGACACAGTGTGTTCAGAGTGTGGTCTTGTCTTAGAATCTCACTCGATCGATGAAACATCAGAGTGGAGAACCTTTGCGAATGAATCAGGAGATAATGATCCAGTTCGTGTTGGTGGACCTACTAATCCTTTGTTAACAGATGGTGGCCTTTCTACTGTTATTGCTAAACCTAATGGTGCTTCCGGAGATTTCTTGTCGACTTCTCTTGGTCGGTGGCAGAACCGTGGGTCCAATCCTGATCGTGGGTTGATTCTGGCTTTTAAAACCATTGCAACCATGTCTGACAGGTAAATTTTTTTTGGGTCTTGCTTTATTTGACTGGTTACGAAGTTGTGGAGGTGTTTGGATCTGGTTGGTTGAGGTTAAGGGATACAAGTTTATGGATTGATGGTTTCTTTAGATTTTTTATTTTGATGGATAGGGGAGTTGGATTTGAATCTTGATTTTGATGGGTTTTGATTGGGTGCAATGTTAATGGAATTAGTTGATGGTTTGAGTCCGCGGTTAGGTTGATGAAATTGGGATTGATGGGTCTTAATAGTGATAGTAGAAATGCTAATTCAACGACAAAATGGCATTTTTTTCTTTGAGTAAGGATGGATATTGACTGGAAGGGCTGAAACCCATGGATGATTCGGTTGTTTCTACTGAAGGCCTGTACAATGGAAAAGGTCTATCTTGCATCTTTTAAAATGAGGAATTAGGATTAAATTCAGCTTCAGTTGAATTGATGGAATAAGCTTCCAGTTGTCAGTGTGCTGAAAAGATTGTGTATGTAGCCATTCCAGTTTGATTATGTTTATACCTCATAAACATTTTGGAAAAGGTCTATCTTGCATCTTTTAAAATGAGGAATTAGGATTAAAAGTGCAGCTTCAGTTGAATTGGTGGAATAAGCCTCCAGTTGTCAGTGTGCTGAAAAGATTGTGTATGTAGCCATTCCAGTTTGATTATGTTTATACCTCATAAACATTGTGGAAAAGGTCTATCTTGCATCTTTTAAAATGAGGAATTAGGATTAAAAGTGAAGCTTCAGTTGAATTGGTGGAATAAGCATCCAGTTGTCAGTGTGCTGAAAAGATTGTGTATGTAGCCATTCCAGTTTGTGCGTTCAATTTAATGAAAGTTCATGACTTGCTAATGGTTTGGTGGTTTTGGTTTGTGTTGGTTAGATTTGGGGTTTTGTTGGATGTTTGTGCTGTGGATTTGATTTTACATGAGAGGGATTTGAATTGGGATCCTCCTGCATTTGGTCTAGTTCTGATGTTGTAGCGGGGGGGGGGGGGGGGGGGGGGGGGGGGGGGGGGGGGGGGGGGGGGGGGGGGGGGGGGGGGGGGGGTGTTGTTTATTGAAATTTTAGGTATTTAGAAATATGAATTCCTCCCCTAGAAGGGATTTGTTGAAGTGAGGGGGAATGGATATTAATTTAAACTATATCATCTGGGTTCAAATAAGATTTATGAATGTCGTTATAGAAGAGGTGGACTTGGGTTCCAACTTGATTAGTCTGTACCTTTTCACGCTGTGTATTCTTCACGGAACAAAGTTCTACACTTCAAAGAGTGCTGGCATTATTTTACTGAATTCTCTCCTTCCATGCACATACATTCTTTGTGCAATGATGTTTTTGAAGAAATACACTATTGCAAAGTCATTGCTAATTTGTGAAATTTCCTTTTCAGGTTGGGCCTTGTTGCAACAATCAAGGTATTCAGACTTGATATTTGTACATTGTTATTACCACTTATGGTTTCAACAGTGTCTTTAAAACATCCTCTTATGAATATGGCATTAAACCTTAACTATCATGTAAATGAAGTATGTTTTCTTGGTATTTCTAGAGTATTACCAGGGAATGAGCCATATATATTGTTCCACCCAGATTTGTCCTTTTCCAGCATTCTTAAAATGTATAGGCACATTCTTATGAAGTTATGATACACGAGCATATTCTTAAATCTCTATGGCTCAATTGGAATGAAGTGACTGGTTTTTGTGGATACGATTAAATCTCATGTAAACGAATGAGACTGTAATATAGGAGATCCTTTTTTTTATTCCCGATGCATCACTTGTGAAGGGAATTTCAATGCCTGGCATGTAAATAGAGCTGCATTATATTTGCTATTACGGTATGATTGATAAAGCCTCATCTACATGAAGCAAGTGTGAAATTCAAATATTTTGATAACTGTTCACTCTTGTCATCCAAGCAGAAAGAGACTCACCCATCTGTGGGGAGAGAAAAGTGAGTGAGTTTTGATGAGATAACATGTTGTTATGCACTTCTATTGCAAGCTTATGGAGAATTACATAATTCTTATCTAGGCATCTAAAATTACAATGAATAGAACAATCACAAATATTAAAAGCGCTTCCCCATCTCTTTCTCTTATGAGGAAGGGTTTGGATGCTTTTCTTGTTTGGTTGTTCACGAGAATTTCCCCTAATGTTTCTTTTTCCTTCTCCGGCGATGCATTTATCATAATATTGAAGGATCGGGCTAATGAGATCTATAAGAAGGTGGAGGATCAAAAGTCCAGTAGAGGAAGGAATCAGGATGCTTTATTGGCTGCTTGCCTCTATATTGCTTGTCGACAAGAAGACAAGCCCCGAACTGTAAAGGGTACCGCCTAACATCCTTTTAACATCTGGATGTTTCATGATTTAATCTTTCCTAAGTGTTTGAGCTTCCCTGAACCTCTGGATTTCAACTAGAAATTTGCTCTGTCGCCAATGGAGCCACAAAGAAGGAAATTGGCCGAGCAAAAGAATACATAGTGAAACAACTGGGTTTGGAGGCAGGCCAGTCTGTGGAGATGGGAACTATACATGCTGGGGATTTTATGGTGTGTCCCCCCCCCCCATAAAATGCTGTGTTAGTTTCATTGTTTATTTACAGACAGCGTTTCTTATTGTTATTGTAAGCACCATTTGCTATTAACTTTGGTGTCAACTTGATCTGTAGAGACGTTTCTGTTCCAATCTTGGAATGTCTAATCATACATTTAAAGCTGCCACAGAAGCTGTTAAGACGTCGGAACAGTTCGATATAAGGTATTTACAAGTTTATCAGATTACCTTTACTTACTTGAAAAGCTATGGTTTCCTCTCTTTTTCTCACTTAACCCACTAAAGGAATCTGACATTGATTGCCCCTCATGACTTCTGCTTAATAACTGTTGTGAAATCCATAAACTTTAGATTAAGAAGAAATAATTCAAAGACCTGGCAAAGAAAATAGTCTTTAAATCTGTGTTCTATTAACCTATTAAACTTTTGGATCAATCTAAGTTGTTCAACTAATATGGCTGCCACCCTTTTTTTCTCTTTCTGAATAATGATTACATCGTTTCAAAGCTATCCACAACTTTGTGGTTGTGCCATGCCCTGCTAATTTTCAAATTTCTCTTCTTGCATGCAAGAGGAAGGGAGAGAAAGTTGCTAATTTGGGTGCTGATGATTGTTTACAGAAATCAACTTGTTTGTGGACACAATATATTTTAGCTGATGTTGACTGCCGTTGACATCCCCCCCCCCCCCCCAAATAAAAAAAAAAAAACCCTCTAATGACTTGTAATGCTTGCAGGAGGAGTCCTATATCAATCGCAGCAGCTGTTATTTATATAATAACTCAGCTTTCAGACGACAAGAAGCCTCTCCGAGGTTTGATGATCGTCTCTAACTCTTTTTATGAAGTGGAAACAAATGGCCTAGTGTTGGATAAAACCAGATATTTCAGAAAAAACCCTATTCTATCAGTTTTAGTTAGACAAGCCATCCAGTATTCTAGATTTTAAATACCGCTGGATACCCATGTTTTAGTAATTTAACTGCTTGAGTTTCAAAACGTGCAACTGATAGTAGTGGCTTGGATGCAGATATTTCACTAGCAACTGGAGTTGCTGAAGGAACAATCAGAAATTCGTACAAGGATCTCTATCCCCACGTATCAAAGATAATACCAACATGGTATGCGAATGAGGAAGATCTGAAGAACCTTAGCAGTCCTTGAATTATAGAGTGAAAAAATACCTGGAAGACTGGAGCCTTCCATTACGGATGGTATTAAAGAAACTGTTGAGGCATACAAAGGAAGCCCTCTCATCATTGTTTATTTAGTTCTGCAGTCAATTGCACCTTTAATTCAGTGGTAGAAAGGAAAAGGAAAAGAAACAGTAATCAACTTTAATTTATACTTGCTGCAGCAGCAGCAGCAATTTTAATTTAATTTTGATGTGTATTGTTATTATTCTTCTTCAAATGGTAAGCTCAGGTTTTCAACTCATTTCTCTTTGTTTTGTATTTGGATGATCTCGTTTTTGCACATGTTAATTTGTGTTATTAATCTTAGCCACAACCTGGAGGGATATGTTGGCTCGGGAATCTGAGTTCGTCTTTTGATATTTTTTTAATGATGCTATTTAAATAGTATTTCTGTGTTTATAATTATTTTTTAAATATTTTTTATATTAAAATATATTAAAAAAATTATGAATTGTTTGAAACAATTGAAAATAGATAAAATCAGATGAAATCGTGTAAAATCATGATTTCAAGATTGATTTTGTGATTGTGCCAAAATGAGGTGCTGAAATAAAATCCCTCCCTCATGTCCAGTTGTCAGGTGCCTATTGGATGTTTTTTGCACAGTCACAGACTTATGTGAGTTTCTTCACTTCAAGGAATTAATTCATTGTCTTCAATCTTCACAAATCACAAAGTACAAAATACTCTTTCTAAGTTTCCCAACTAAACAAATCCCTAATCGGCAACCATAACAGCGGTGATAACGATCTTTATCCTCCACAAAAGCAGTCAATGACAGTATTCACGGTCCAGTGACTCCAGTCTTCACTCCTTCCTTTTCTCAATGTCCATGTTAACTTTACTCGTGCTTGCAGTTTTAAAGCAAAAATTAGTTGCTTAATCTTACTTCGTTTTCTATTCTTAAGATTTTGATTCCTTGATGTGGTTAATTTTCACAACAAAACGATTTCTTTTATATTCTTTTTTTTTTCTAGTGTTATTTAAAGGCTCTTCATTGCTTTATGTGATTAGCTTGTTTAAATAGACCGACCTTTACAAGAACTTCTGTTATTAAAGGTCTTTTATGTCTTTCTATTCTAATTCTTAAACCAATCTTGGTTGTAATATCAATCTCTTAGTTCAAAAGATAATAAAAATGAATTGAAAATAGTAAATGCAAAAGAGGATGCATTTCAGTAACGGAGAGAAAGATCATGTGGCTTTGAAAAAATGTATCCATATTTGGCTTGAAAAACATGTATCTATATAGTTTAAATATTTCATCATATTTAGTGGTTCAAAAATTCATGCTTCCACTGTATAGTTCAATAAGATGTTCTAACCAACAGGCAATAAGTATGAATTTTTTTTTATGTATTTTAAATTTTTTTATAATTTTATGATCCGTTTTCACGATCCGAGTTTGTTTAATATTTTTTGTGCCGTGTTAAAATCATGATTTTAACAACTTTGGACACGAGCACTTTCACCCTTGTTATTTAAAAACTTCAATATGAAAATAAAATCCCCCCCTCATATCCAGTTGTCAGGTGCCTATTGGATGTTACTCATGTGACTTCCCTAATCAGCAACCATAACAGCGGGTGATAACGATTTCCATCCTCCACAAAAGCGGTCAATGACAGTATTCACGGTCCAGTGGCTCCAATCTTCACTCCTTCCTTTCCTCAGTGTCCATGTTAACTTTACTCGTGCTTGCAGTTTTAAAGCAAAAATTAGTTGCTTAATCTTACTTCGTTTTCTATTCTTAAGATTTTGATTCCTTGATGTGGTTAATTTTCACAACAAAACGATTTCTTTTACATTTTTTTTTTCTAGTGTTATTTTAAAGGCTCTTCATTGCTTTATGTGATTAGCTTGGTTAAATAGACCGACCTCTATAAGAACTTCTGTTATTGAAGGTCTTTTATTTCTTTCTATTCTAATTCTTGAACCAATCTTGGTTGTAATATCAATCTCTTAGTTCAAAAGATAATAAAAATGAATTGAAAATAGTAAATGCAAAAGAGGATGCATTTCAGTAACGGAGAGAAAGATTATGTGGCTTGAAAAACATTTATCTATATAGTTTAAATATTTCATCATATTTAGTAGTTCAAAAATTCATGCTTCCACTGTATAGTTCAATAAGATGTTCTAACCAACAGGCAATAAGTATGAATTTTTTTTATGTATTTTAAAATTTCTTATGATTTTACGATTTTATAATCTGTTTTTACAATCTGAGTTTGTTTAGTATTTTTCGTGCCGTGTTAAAATCATGATTTTAACAACCTTGGGCACGAGCACTTTCACCCTTGTTATCTAAAAACTTCAATATAAATTTTACTGATTTTAATTATAGTTTTTTTTAATTAACTTTTTTATTTTTATTTTTTAATATTAATTATTTTTAAAAGTATTTTTGAGAAAAAAACTAAATTAGGTATTGTTCAAAATTTTTAAAAATTTTTAAAAAATTAATTTGAAGTGAATAAAAAAACATAAAAAAACTCAAATTTATTCAAAAACTCTTTTAAAACACAAAAAAATAAGTTTTTAGTGTGGTTTTGCTTTAGGATAGGTATTGTTGGGCAACGCGGTCCAATTATATTTTTAAGATTTTTAATTTTTAAATTAATAATATTTTTATTATTTTGATATGTTGATATTAAAAATAAAAAAATTATTTTAAATAATTTTTTTTTAAAAATCATTCAGTCTATATCACACTCCCAAATATTATCTAATTTGTAATAAATGACTGTAAGAATATGAGATTATCTAATTTGTAATAAATGACTGTAAGAATATAAATAACACAAGAGATGTTAAAAAAAAATAAAAAATTACCTGTACAACATTATAGTAAGAAGATATTTATAACCTGGTGCGAGAATAACAAACATATCATCCGCGTGTGTAGGATAAAGTTAATCGAATGACCAAACAGATTGAAAAATAACAACTGGCGGGAACTTCCCGGTCACGCAACAAAAAACTGTACTGTACTGTTACAACGAATACTGCCTCCTCACCAGTCACTGCGTCGCCAAAAAAAAGTCTCAGAGAGAGAATGAGAGGCAGAGTCATGGTAGACAAAGACAACGGCGACTTCTTGATGACGGAACAGCCAAGAGGAAGAGGAAGGGAAAGGCGCAAAGGCAGAGGTCTCAGACTCGGAGGACGAGGAGAATCAAGGCAACAGACACTACTCCATGACGAAGAAGAAGAGGAAGAGGGTGGGATTGACCGAAATGTCCTTCAACTCTTCACTCCTCTTCGCTGTCAGTATTTCCTCTATCCTTAAGCCGTGCTAAAAATTTACGTTATATGATTTTGAATGCGAGTTTTTCTTTTTTAATCAACCAGGGATATAAGATTTTTAAGGTTTTTTTATTTTTTTTTAATGGAAAACAACCAAACAAGGCCTAAGGCCTAGGGTTTATGCTTCTTTGGCGTAGCACAAAAGAGAAACTAAAATGATGAGATTTGTGCATATTAACCAAGAATGATTCCAAACAGACCGTAATAAAGTAAATAGAAAGATGGAAGATATTTGTTAACTTTGTTATTGTTTTATTTATCTATTTCAATATTCAATTATTAATGTAAATGATGTAGCTGTAGAGGGTTGGAGTGTTTTGTTGAGTGGAGTGCATGAAGAAGCACAAGAAGATGATATTCTCACTCTATTTGGTGCTTATGGCCACATCAACAACTTGCATCTCAATCTTGATCGCCGCACCGGATTTCTTAAGGTAATTATTATTAACCAATTGAAAATAAAATATTTAAGTTTAATTTGTGAGTGCGGCAATGTCTGGTAGAGAGTTTAGGAGTTTGATAATGTATTGTTATTTGTTTGTAGTTATTTTTTTTTCCGGTAGAAAGTGTTTGTTGTGTTTTTTATGCTTAGTTATAAAACTCCATCCAGTCAAGCAAATCCACCTGGTGATTTGCTGATCCGGAGCCGGATCCACTGGGTTTTACTTCGAACCTTTTATCTTAAACCAAAATGAGGTTATTTTGAGTTTTGTTTTTGTTTTTTTTTAAACATCATAGCTTATGTTGATCCATAGGTCTATCTACCCAACATACAACCCGAGTTTTGGTTCAAGTCAACCCTAGATTGGGTTTGATTTTTATAGATTTGAAATGTTTAGGTGGATATAAAAATTGGTGGAAGATTATTATTGCGCGTGTGACCAAGATTAAAATTCTTATAATTGTGGATCGTGGGGGTGCTTAATATTTTATGAATATTGGTCATGATTGTTACCAAGTAGGGGATCCTTGCATTTGTTGCCAATGGATTTGCAACTTGGGAATTGGATATCCTTATTCTGATAGGACTTGCTATGTGTGAGGTATCAAGAACAAACCCTTGAAAAACATTAGAGAATGGTGATGGTTGAAGATATGCTCCACTCCTTGATAAATTATTTCGCAGGTTTTGTAAATAATATATCGGGATGTTTCTACTTGTAGATATTGAAAAGGTAAATTCTTTGTTCAGGGGTATGCTCTGATAGAATATGAGAACTTTATGGAAGCTCAAGCTGCTATATCTGGAATGAATGGGACTAAACTCTTATTTCGGACCATCTCTGTTGACTGGGCTTTCAGCACTGGTCCTTTCGAAGGGAGGAGGTCTGCTTGTTTTCATGAATTATCATATGCTGTAGCTATATTTGGTGTTAGCCTAACCTGTAACCCTTTCTCAGCTTGAAAAAAGCTCTCTTTTGGCCTTGAAAAAATCATAGCAGATTTACCTTTTCTGTTCCGAGGATGTGGTCGAAAGTTGATGATTTAATTGTTACTTTACTTCCCTGCCAGATCATTTGACACACACCGTTCAAGGAGCCCAAGGAGACACCTAGCTTAGCACCGGAAGACAGGCAATAAGTTGAGAGGGGATGGGTTGTCCATACTCTCACAGGGATGTTAATATGCTATCCATCAACATGTCTTCTAGTTTCAAAATCTCAATTTCATAAACAAGCCCAGGATTTCATGCTAGCTTGTCAGTAAAAAGTATTGAATCAGATTGAATATTGATTCATGTTACCTTTATTCTGGAGTTGAAACTTGAAAATCCTCTCTGGATTCGGTGCCTGTTTTAGAATATGACAGAGATTACGTTTTCAAAATGTTTCACTCAGAAACATATTATAATAATGTTTTTTATTTTATTTTTTAAAACTCCTCGTGTTTTTTTCTTAAAAAAAGAAAGGTTAATGTTACTTTTCAGCTCTTGATATTCAGAGCAGCTTAGACCCACTTAGTCCTGTGACCTCAATTTTATAGTTCAGTTTATGGGTGGGCATGAAATTTGTTTTGACATTCCATTTAGCCTGGCCTTTACGCTGGATATTTGTATACAGTAACTATTAAAATTAGTTGTTAATTTCAGGGTAATGTTTATTCCCTGATTTCTATAAATAAAGATTTGTATAATTATTAATTTCAAAACTTATAAAATTAGTAGAGATATGCGCATCCTGATTTAGAATTAGAATAGGGTGTGGGTTTGTTTTCTGCAGAACAGTACCTGTTAATTGTTACCTTCCAGTTCCCATTCATAAGATCCCTAGCAATCGACATTTTCATGAGACCCAAAACCAGATTACACGGATAAAAGCCCAAGTCCACAAAAGGCCTTCAGGCCTAGCTAAAGCAGGGCATAAAGCTAGCAATTGAGGACACACGGGTTCTTTCCAGCCCATAGAACAGCCACAACCCAAGATCAAAACCCATCAGAAGAGTATCCCTCAGCCCATCTCTTTGAGAATGCACGGATAAATAATAAGAAAATTACCATCTTATTTTATTTTTAAACAATAAAATAATATTTTTCATAATATTCTCTATTTTTGAAAAAAAACCCGAAAGAAAAAAATGAGATAAGAAAATAAAAGAAAGAAAGAAAGAAAAAGTGGGATTTCTCTCAGCTTCCTTGTTAGCTGTTAAACTGCAGGCTCAGAGTTCAGGGAGGCTAGAATAGACCTTGCCATCCCATGACCAATCGTGCCTTGACACTTGACACGATGAGATCAGGGTCACGACTCCTGGCATGGCAGCTTTGCCAGGGTACTTTGCAGGACAATCAATAAAGATGCGAAACAATTCTAGTTACATTATAGCGATGCGTGGTAGTTGGCATAAAGTCGCAACAGGGGGGACTACGGTTTGGTACTTACAGCTTAACGGCTTGAATCGACTCCTGGCTCATAAGCTTTTTATCGGGTCGCTATTGGTTATTCAGTTTCTCCCTGTCTTGTATTAAGTTTTTTTTTCCCCAGTTAAAAATAGTGTTTTAAAAAATATTGAATTTATTTTCTTGAAATTAATTTCTTGGATGTATTTATTTATATTTTTTTAATTTTTTTATATTAAAAATAAATTTTTTAAAATAAAAAATATTATTATGATATTTTTCAAATACAAAATAAATACTTTTAAAAATATCCTTTGCTACGAGACAAAGGTCATAATGCCCTCCTTTGCCGGCTGAGTCTGAAAGAGAAATAGCCTACAACCAAGACACCAGTTTATCCATGACCTAGTTAACAATCTTCAAAAGGTGTGGAAAATTACAGTAGCTTTCTTACATCATATACTTTTTTTGTTTTTTTTTTTTTTCTGTTTGTTCATTTTTTGTTTTGTATTTTGTATTTTTTTTTCTCTCTTTTTTAGGCTTTACATATTTTTTTCTTTTTTCTCCAAGATTGTCTTTTTTTAATTCTTTTTTTATGTTTTATAAATTCTTTTTTAATTTTTTTAATATTAAACCAGTTGAAAATTTTATTATGTAGTTTTTTTAAAAAAACATTATGGATTATTACAATATTTTTCTAAATCATTTTTTTTAATTTTTTTTTCAAAATAATCTTTGTCAATTTTACTTTGTAATTTTTTTTAAAATACCATGGATTATTACAATGTTTTTTCACATGATTTTTGTTTTGTTACAGTGTTTCTTCCCGTGTTTTTTAATTATTTTTTATCAATTTTTTTCATATTGAATTGACTAAAAATTTTTAATTTTTTTTTTGAATTTCCTCATGAAACATCATAGATTGCTACAATATTTCTTTACATAGTTTTTTTATTTTGTTTTTTTGTTATAATTTTTTCTAATTTTTTTGTTACTTTTATTTTTTAAATATTAATCTAATTAAAAATTTAATTTTATAATTCTTTTTAAAAAATTATAAATCATAATAATTTTTTTCTATATAATTTCTTTTTCACAGATTTACAATAGCATACAAGTATGACATGAACCAGTAACATCACGCGGACATCACATCTACTAAAAAAATAAAAAATAAAAAATAATGTGCTGTGCCAGCTGAATCAATCAAGGCAGAAATAAAGAATCCTGTTGCACAGCTTTGAATGGATGCCTCTTTGTAAAGTTCTCTTTCCAGCACATTTCAGCCTTTTCAGGCCAACAAGTACGTGATTTTAACAAAAGGACTTGGCATTTTGCTTCTCTAGTCGGACCCATCTCCCTTTCCAATTTGCCTTTGTCTTCTGAACATTGCTTTTAAAAAGTACTTGCACAATTGCTGCTTTACTACCACCCTAGCTTATGTCAGCCGCATCAAGCCTCCTCTTTTTTTTTTTTTTTTTTTTTTAATTATTACTATGGTTAAACATTACTTTTAAAAATTCCTGATTTTTTTTATTTTTTAGTTATTTTTTAATTTTTATATCATTTTTTATGTCTTAAAACTAAAAATAAATTCTAAAAAACTAAAAAATTATTATTTTAAAACATCCATAAATAATTTTTTTTTCTAAAAAGATATGCATGTATAACTAATTATTATCAAATATAAAAATTTTAATTTTTTTTATTAATATAGATGTTCATAATATTTTATGAGTATCTTAACTAATTTTATAGTTCTCAAGTTAATAATTATATAAATTTTTAAACATTTTAAAATTAATAAAATTTAAATTAATAACATAAAATAATAAATTTTAAAGAATAAATTCAAAACTATACTTACATTGATACCATCGCAACAGGGGGGACTACGGTTTGGTACTTACAGCTTAACGACTTGAATCGACTCCTGGCTCATAAGCTTTTTATCGGGTCGCTATTGGTTATTTCTGTCAACCCACTAGTTTCTCCCTGTCTGGTAATAAGTTTTTTTTTCCCTAGTTAGAAATAGTGTTTTTAAAAATCTTTAATTTTTTTTCTTGAAATTAATTTCTTGGATGTATTTATTTAGATTTTTTTAACGTGTTTATATTAAAAATAAATTTTTTAAAATAAAAAAAATATTATTATGATATTTTTCAAATACAAAAAATATCATTTGTTACTAGACAAAGTTCATCATGCCCTCCTTTGCCGGCTGAGTCTAAAAGAGAAGTAGCCTATAACCAAGACACCAATTTATCCATGACCTAGTTAACAATCTTCAAAAGGTCTGGAAAATTACAGTAGCTTTCTCACATCATATACTTTTTTCGTTTTTTTTTGTTTGTTCATTTTTTGTTTTGTATTTTTTCCCTTTCTTTTTCTCTTTTTTAGGCTTTACATTTTTTTTCTCTAAGATTGTTTTTTAATTTTTTTTTAATATTAAATCAGTTGAAAATTTTATTATATAGTTTTTACTTTAAAATCTTATGGAGCACTAAAATGTTTTTCTAAATAAATTTTTTATGATTTTTTTTCTTTTTCAAAATGATATTTGCCGATTTTACTTTGTAGCTTTGTTTTTAAAATATTGTAGATTGTTATAATATTTTTTCAAATGATTTTTTTGCTAGAGTGTTTCCCTACATGTTTTTTTTTAAAAAATTATTTTTATTAATTTTTTTAAATATGAAGAAGTTGGTTGTGAATTCAGCTTTAATTTTTTTCAAATATTTTTTTTTGTTTTTTTTCCAAAATTATCTTCTTTTTTTTTTTTAATTTTTTTGTGTTTTTTTGAAATCATTTTTGTTAATTTTATTTTTTTATATAAAGTAAGTTGAAAATTTAGTTTTGTAGTTTTTTTCTTTAAAATAAGGTGGATTGCTACAATGTTTCTCCACATATATTTTTTTTTAAAATTTTTTTTAGAATTGTCTTTATTAATTTTTTTTTCATATTAAGATGACTGAAAATTAGCCTTATAGTTTTTTTTAAAAAAATATTATGGATTACTACAGTGTTTCTCTATATAATTTTTTTGTTATGATTTTTTTTTAAATTATCTTTATAAATGTTTTTGTTATTTTTTTTAATATTAAACCCGTTAAGAATTATAAGTGTAAATTTTTTTATGAAACACTATAGATTACTACGATATTTTTTTGTGTAATTTTTTTGTTTTGTTTTTTGTATCATTTTTTTTAAAAAATTATAAATCATAATAAGTTTTTTCTATATAATTTCTTTTTCACAAATTTACAAGTATGACACGAACCAGTAACATCACGCGGACATCACATCTGCTAATAATAATGAATCAATCAAGGCAGAAACAAAGAATCCTCTTGCACAGCTTTGAATGGCTGCCTATTTGTAAAGTTCTCTTTCCAACACATTTCAGCCTTTTCACCCCAACAAGTACGTGATTTGAACAAAAGGACTTGGCATTTTGCTTCTCTAGTCGGACCCATCTCCCTTCCCAATTTGCCTTTGTCTTCTGAACGTTGCTTTTAGAAAGTACTTGCACACTTGCTGCTTTACTGCCACCCTAGCTTACGTCAGCCGCATCAAGCCTCCTCCTTTTTATTTATTTATTTATTTATTATGGTTAAACATTACTTTTAAAAATTCCTGATTTTTTTTATTTTTTATTTTTTTATTTTTATATCATTTTTTATATATTAAAAATAAAAATAAATTATAAAAAACAAAAAAAAATATTATTTTACAATATCAATGAATAAAAGAAATTCTTTCTAAAAAGACATGTGTGTATAACTAATTATTATCAAATATAAATATTTTTATTTTTATTAATATAGATGTTCATAATATTTTATTAGCACTTTAACTAATTTTTAGTTTTGAAGTCGATAATTATATAAATTTTTAAAGATTTTAAAATTAATAAAATTCAAATTAATAACATAAACTAATAATTTTTAAAGAATATATTCAAAACTATACC